CATTCTCCATTTACCTGTTTTTTTCTTAACCACAAATACAGGAGAATTCCAAGGGCTGGTAGATTCTTCTATATGTCCAGCATCTAATTGTTCTTGTACCAGCTGTTCTAAAGCCTGTAACTTTTCCTCAGCTAAAGGCCATTGCTTTGTCCATATTGGTTTCTCAGTCAACCATTTTAGAGGCAAGGCTGTTGGTATCTCTGAAGGGACATCAATTGCTTGTTCTTGTACAGCCCGAATGGCCGGTTTTCTCCGTTTGTAATATCTATTAATATTATTCTCAGAAATATAGGCTCTAGATTTAGCAGGAATGTTAATTTCGGTATTCCATTGTTGTAATAGGTCACGACCCCATAAATTCATTGCGATATTGGCTACATATGGCTTTAATTTTCCTATTTGTCCCTCTGGCCCTATACATTCAACCCATCTCGTGCTCTGCCTTACTCGAGATAGGGTTCCAATTCCCAGGAGCTGAACATTTACATTCTGAAGAGGCCAACACGGATGCCAAGATTCTGGGGTAATGATACTTACATCAGCACCTGTGTCCAGTAGGCCAGTAATAAAAATGCCATTTACACACACTCTCAGTTTAGGTCTTTGATCATTTATAGAAGTTTGCCAAAACACACGTAACTTATCTTTCTGATCATTATTGCTTGTAACAGTAGGCATGGGGCTTCCTAATTGTCCTGATGAGGCACGTTCTCTGCAGAAACTGGATATGACTGAACCATGTTTGCCATGGGGGCCTGTGAGGCCCCCCCTCTCACGTTTCCCGACTGTATCAGGTTGCCTTGTCTATCTCTTGTAGACCTGCATTCATTCGTCCAATGTCTGCCCTTTCCACATCTTCTACATAAACCTGAAGGCTGAGTCCTCCTATTTCTGTTATTTCTAGAAGTTGCATTATTATTATTATTATTTCTGAAAGATGCATTATTGTTATTATTATTATTATTATTATTATTATTTCTGTAAATCCGTTGTCTACAATTCCTTTTCATATGACCCATTTTGCCACAATTAAAACATTTGGTATTCTGGTGTCTCCTTTTACCATTGGAAATTGCTTCTTCTACCCATGCTTCAGTGCCATAATCAAATGTATCAACATTGAGTGTATGCAAGACCCATTCTTCCAACGGCGCTGATCTGAGCTTTAAAGGACCCAAAATCCTTTTGCATTCCACATTTGCATTTTCATAAGCCAAAGACTCAATCATTATACGTCTTGCTTCTGTGTCATATATTCCTATTTGTACAGCCTTAGTTAATCTTTGTAAAAAGTCACTAAAGGGTTCTCTCTGACCCTGTTTAACTCTGACAAATGATTCCATTCTCTCCTGGGTCTTGTACCCTGTCCCAAGCTCTTAAGGCTGCTGTAGTACACATGGAGAGTGTGTTTTCATCCAAATTAGCTTGTTCCTGAGGATCGGAAAAGGGCCCTTCACCTAGAATTTGATCTAGGGAAATGTCAATTCCCTTCGCTTTTTCCTGCTGTTCTAAGAGTCTAGCCTCTTGCCTGAATAAGCATTTCCATTTCAATTGCGGTCCACTCTCGAGTACCGCAGAGCTCAGCTGGAGCCAGTCCGAGGGGGTTGCTCTGCTTGTCGTGGCCCAAGATTTTAGCATCTCTTTAACAAAAGAGGCTTGCATCCCAAAAGTCATGACAGCCTGTTTTATTTCCTTGAGATCATTCATACGCACAGGCTCCCATGTATCCTCCTTGATGACCCTAGGGTTTTTGGAACCAATCACCTTCTCTGTTGTTATTACGGGAAAGGCAGGTAGAGCTGTAGGTAGAGCTTTGTGGAAATTGTCCCGGAGAGACTTACCCACAGATGTAGTTAAAATTTTCCTTTCTACCCTTTGCTCTTCTTCATCAGAATTTAGAAATTCCTCAATCTTTTCAATTCTATTCACCATTGCCTTCTGCAATGTCTGAATCTCCTGTCCAGAATTATGTTCCAAAGCCTTCATTGAGGATTCTAATGTATGAAGTTTGTCCGTTAGAGATAACATCTCATCTTTGGACATAATTTTTATGGCATAAACCGTGCCTTCTTGTATTGACAATCTTTCCGTCAATCTGTCATAAGCTTTAGACAAAATCCAATTGTCACATTCAGCAGTTTTGATTCTCTCAGTTAATGTTTCATTTCCTACAGAAAGGGACTGAATCTTATGGTCCAGATCAGCTGTTCCCTCTTCCATAGTAATGAATTTCTCCTTAACATCAGCCTGAAGAACTTCAACCTGATTCTTGAGAAGATTGTTATCAGCCTGGAGAACTTCAAACCGATTCTCGAAAAGATTGTTATCAGTCTGGAGAACTTCAACCTGATTCTTGAGAAGATTGTTATCAGCCTGGAGAACTTCAAACTGATTCTTGAGAAGATTGTTGTCATTCTCAATTGTTTTTAAGCGTTCAATCTCTACCTTAAGAATCCTGGATTCGTCTCGTAAAGACTTTATCATATTTCTATTATCAAACCATTTGGTGCCAATGAAAACTACGAATCCCAGAAGGATCCATATATGTGGGGTGATAGACACCTCTTGTAAAATCTCCCACATGGTACAATTAAAAAAATCATTAAATTCTTGAACAGTAATGTGTTCAGACATTTTATTTATAAAAGAAATTTTTTTTACCTGCAATGATCGGTTCCTGCCAGTGGTGGTCTCTGTGTTTTTGGAGCCTGTCCTAGAACTAGCTCTTGTAGACCAGGCTGGCCTTGAACTCACAGAGATCCGCCTGTCTCTGCCTCCCAAGTGCTGGGATTGAAGGCGTGCACTACCAAGGCCTGGCAGGCCTCAAACTCACAGAGATCTGCCTGCCTCTGCTTCCCAAGTGCTGGGATTAAAGGCGTGCTCTACCACTGCCTGGCCGGCCTCAAACTTGTGATCCTCCTGTCTCTGCCTCCTTCAGCAAATCCTACTGGTGTGGGCCACCACAACCGGCCAAGTCACTTTGTAACAGACCAAATCTGACGCTGTGGCAGCTTTTGTTGCAAAACCGCAATTACTTGAGCTTCTGCTAATTCAGGCAGTGGGGTTCCGCTGCAAAACTTAGCCAAGGCAGGCAGAATGGGCCTGTGTCGCTGAGTGTGTCTCGGACTTGGCACTGGGGCCGGAGTCACGAACTGAAAAACAGCACCGGGGAGGGTGCTGTGTTAGCTAGCGGGCTACCCGCTTGAGTTGAGGGCAAAATATCCCGACGTTGGACGCCAAAATGTAACGGCGTAAATGAATGCAGACAGAGTGTAAAAATATATATATAGCTTTAATGTAGAAATAGACTTACAGAACCACCGTTCCCGCGGAGACCAGGAAAGCAGAAGCCAGAAGTGACAAGCTAGGAGCTTGCTCGCCAAATTTATAGGCAGACATTAGCCCGAGGCGAACACGCCCCTTAAGGGGCGGGACTTATCCCTACACACTACCTCTCTATTTGGAGGGAACAACTTACTCAATCAGCTGCACTCACAACAGATAGGGTTGCTGGTCCAGAGCAGAAATTGACTTCTTCCCACAATTCTTTTCACCTTGCTGCATTCGGGTGATCAAATGGTTCTTATGCAAACATACAGGGTGTGCACAAAGAAAGCCCAACAACCTTGGAAAGAGGAAGCACCAGCCTAGATATGCATTGTTACATAAGAGGTGGTGTCATGAGAATTTACAATGGATACAGAACTTGTCTAATCGACGGGACTGCCATAGCATTCTTACTCCATCTTCCACCCTGCAAGCAGACAAAACAGTTATTGCTGCCCCTGTCTTCCAGATGACGAGGTGGTGATTCATGGTGACATGCCCAATTTTGTGGAGTTCATTAGAGACTGAGCTATTTGGACTTCTAGTCTAGTATGCCACAAACTTTAACTATTCTACCAACATATACGCTGCTAACAGCTCCCTCAGTGACTTGAGATGGGAAAAAACCAAGGTTAACAACAGTTCAGTCTAACTGAAAAACTACGTCTGTGGATCCTATCAATTTACTGGCTACTATGTTGCATGCTGACTACACTGGGCAATTGAACCTCTTTTCATTCAGGATGTGTTCAAGATGCTACTTTTATCTTTCCCAAACATGAGCAAAATGTACATTATCTGCAGCATCTTGCCTAGGCAAAGACCCTTATGTTGCACACACCTTTCTCTGAATAGACACTGCTGGACACCAGAACTTCACAGCTTCCATACTTATGGAACATAGAAAAGCCCTCCGGGCTCAGCCAACAAGAGCCCTGAGACAGAAACCATCTTGTTACAGCAGGGATTCAGGCTAAGTCCATGATACTTACTAGAAATGTTGAGCTGCATGAAAATACACACACACTCACACGTGTGCACACACACACACATACACATACAATCCATATCTATTCCTGATAGATATAGATTAGACATAGACAACAGTTAATCCATATATATTGACAATGGTAAAACTATTGTGGACTGTATTTTCATTTTCTGAACCTGGAATGCCCACCATAGGCACTGCCATGCCTGAGTTCAATTTTCCCTATTCCTCCGTTCCATTGATGCCAAACAGGCTCTGAAGTTTGTATAGTGGATGTGTGTATTTGATACATCTGAGGATTAGTCAATGTTCAAGTTGCCTCCAGTGGAACCAGGGGTTCCAGATAACCCCACCATAACCAGGTCCTTAAGATCAGTGGAAAGGAGAAAGCAGAAGGGAAGTGAAAGGGTAAGAAGCCACATGGTCGCATCCATCCTGCTGGGCATTCTCTCCAAGGATCTGTGGGACTTCATGTGTACTGATGGAATTTGTTGACAATAAAGCATTATGCTCAGTACAGCAGAGAAGGAATTAATACAATTAAATGTTAAAGAATTAAAACAGAAAACAAGTGCCAAAACACAACTTATTTAAACCACTAGAAACCCAGAGCCCCAAAGTTGAAAATTCTCTTTTGAATTCCCGTGCCTGCATCTTTGCTACTAAAGTTTTTGAGACTCACCCATGTCTTTGGCACTCCGACTCCAATTGTAGCCTGCTGGCTAGTCTGCTTTGCGACTGACTTTGTTCAGCTGGAAGGATCCTGGTCTCTCCAGTCTCCTTCTTCTGTCCTTTACTCTTTCTCTCTGAGTATCTTTGTCCTCTCCTCCTGAAATGAAAAGGGCTCTCTGATTGACAGCCAAGCCCCTTAAAGAGACAGGCTTGCTTTCCTCCTCCTCTCCTCCTCCCCTTCTCCTCCCCTTGTCCCCTCCTCCTTTGGGATACTCCCTTCTTTAAGGGCTCCATTTTCTCTTTCTGCCTTTTACTTCCAGTTGTTTCATATTTTTTTTCTTTTTTTTCTAAAGATTCTCTAGAATTTCATTTTGCTACAAAGACATCTGGAAATGTGAATTGGAGATGGGAATTAAATGGAGGGGTCCTGCAATACTCCAACTGATCCTTGGGTCTGTCTGATGTGCCAGACCTCAATCGAGCACGCTGAAGCTGTGTGAAATAGTAGCCCTGACAATGTGGTCTGGATGAAAGACCTACATGCTCCGAGACCAAATATGCCCCAAACAATCCTTACTCCTAGCTGCCCTTGACCCCAGAACCTTTCCAGTCCCTCTGTTTGTTAGCAGAAAGCATTCTTCCTCCTCCTAGAATTATAATGATTATATAGCTTGATAACAGAGACACAAAGGAGAGGGCAAGATCTGTACCAAGTTCTCAGAAAGAAAAAGGTCGGACTGAAGTTGTAGGTGATTTCTAAGGAGAACTAACAAGACGCTATCGTAACCTGGGAATCTGCTAGTCAAAATTCTGCCCAGGAAATGTAGCGTTCTCGTATGGAAGTGAAGACAAGGCACAGGGAGGCAAGGGGTGCAGCAATTGGGTGTGGGGGGTGGAGAAAAAAATACAGTCCTTGCCTCAGAGAAACGTCTATATAAAAAAGATCAAATAGTGAAAACAGGAGTAATATATGAAACATCCACACTGGTAAGAGTGGTCTCTGGAGACTGTGAAGGGACCCGACTGTCAAATAGAAAGTTAGAGAAAACTTTCTAGAAAAGGTGAGCTTTAAATGCTGATGTGGGTTCTTCGTCAATTTTCTCTCTCAGTTCAGAAGCCTCAGCCAGTCACAACCCTCTTGATCTAGAAGCAAGGGTCTTTTCCTGAGTGGTTCCAGGGCAAGTCGTCGGACTATAACAAGAGCAGAGACTGTCCTCTCTATCCTCCTAAGAAATAAGGATGTCCTCCTGAACCTGGTCTTCTGTCTTGTCATAAGAGACAGCAGAGAGGGAAAGCCATGCAGAACCTAAAATTTTCTTGGGAGAAAGAGATCAAATATTGTGTGTTATGAACGTCTTTTGTGGTTGTGATTTTCCGTGTTTCTGGCTAGTTACACTGGAGTCCAGAACCACACAGAATACAATATTGGCTCCAGAACAAATCTTTTGCTCTTACACAAGCCCCGATGTGAAGGGATGCTTGTATATGCCTTGTATATTCCTCTTGCAGAACAGTAAAGTAGCGGCTTCCCAGGGCAGACCAGACCAAGGCCATGGCTGATTGTTGAGGGTCTCAAGCCCATGCCTTTCGAGGCATGCCGTCCAGACAAAGACTCTGCCTGCCACGGCAGTGCAGTTGTAGTAATGGCCCTGGAGGAGGGGAATGATAGCAAAAGTACCTGACCCTAAACTTGGGCATTCTGATGTAAGGCATAAGAAACAAAATTCTTTGTAGCTCAAATAGCCAAGGCAGATATATGTACAGGGGAAATCGCTCAGTCTGAGTCCTCTTCTACACCTATCTATTCTCAACAGCATCTCGGGGACTGACTATATCCTCAGAAGAAAGTAATTCCCCAGTAAACTCCCAGACACCACCTTATCCATTATATTCTCCTGAGGCCTCTTTTCTTCGTCTACCATCTCTACTGTCTTACAGTTCAGTTCATCTCTTTCTCTTGTCACCCCTTCTCTACCTCCTTCCCAGGGGCAGATCTTCCTGTCTCTGCCTTGCTCTTATGCCAATGGCAAGGAAAGGCACTCAGCCAGGTGATTATGTCACACTCCTTCCCAGTGCCCTAAGGTTCCCAGTTCCCTCAGATCTAGTGTGTTGTAGTGGCTCTGTCCATCTGACACTCAGCTTGGACACTCCCTCTGCATCCTTGTTCTAAGTCCTCCATACAATCCTTAGAGGATTTCTTTCAGGTCTCAAAGAAGCTCCCAACCCCATAAACTCCATCTACCCTACCTATTCCTGCGGTTCTGCTTTTACTGGGTCTTCTAAGTAAGTGGATGTTCTCCATTCCAGCTAGGCTTCTGCAATGCACAAAAATTCCTCCAGAGGGCACCAGCAGCCTTCATGGTCGTAGTCGGCGGCCAGCTTTGGGGACCTGTGAGGAAGAACAAAGCAGGATTGTATTAAACTAGTAAACACCGTGTTTCACACTGTTCTTGTAGTGCCACTAGAGAATCTGGTCCTCCTTGATCATAGCTTGGTTTAATTGTGTGACTGTCTTCAATTATCTATAAAATATTTGGCTACTACCTCCATTCTCTCCTGTATTGTCACATAGTACCAGATCTTGAAGGTCAGAAAGAAGGCAATTTTTCTTTGCTCTGCTGAGCTAAGGCATTCTCTCTGAAAACCTTATAAGCACACAAGTACCTAATCTGGTGGGATACTTCTCTGTGTCCACCGAGAAGACGGAAAAGAAAACAGAGAAGGCACAGTACCAGAGAGTTCCTGATCTCATCTGGTGCTATTTGAGAATCTAGAGCTGAGTCTTTTCTTGTCCTACCCAAGACCATGTCATTATAGGCCACATTTGGAAGATGAGTGGCCGCTTTTAACCGTCCCCCCCCCCCAGTCCTGGCACAGAAATCTAGCAGAATGGCAGGCAATGTATCAAGTCCTGTGCATATGCAGATAGAACTTTCCACACCCAACTTTATGCCAATTGGCTTGGCTATGCCTTTCTGGCCAAGAGAAGTGAGGGCTGAGGACCAGAGATGTCACATTCTTTGATCATGCAGGGTGTGGGAGACAGGGGGCAGGGGTGGAGGATGCTACTCTTTTTTTCTGGTAATTCAAAGAGCAATGCAAGGACAGACAGGAGTGACTGGTAAATTGTGTGGGTATTTACAAGGGAGAGATGCTAATAGCTTGGGATAGGGTAAAGAAAGCAGCTTAAAGGCCAAAATATTCAGACAAACTCAGGAAAAGAGCACCCGAAGAATGCCAAGAAGCCAGTAGCAGTGTGGAAAAAGCAGCTGTCCACATGACCCACTTAGAATCCTGAAAACTTGGCCATCTTTACTGGGGCAGCCTCTATAAAGAAGATGCACAGAGTTATAACAGCAGCAGAATTAAAATTATTTCTGTAGTTATCAATGCTCACCGAACTGTAAGGAACATATTTTATTTTTTTCCAGTTGAGTAATGGGGGGACACAGAAGCAGCTTTCCCAGAGCCCCCTAATAGGCAAGAGACAAAACTACCTTTAGAAGATACCTCTATCCAGAATGTTTGAATACAGAGCCTCTTTCCTGAACGAGAATAGCAAGGGGGAGGATGGGCGGGCTTCTAGCTGCTATGGCCCAAGCTTCTAACCTTCATACTCCTCAAAGCAACGTACAAAGAGTAGGTTCGAAATGCAGTGGTTTTTATATATCTTGTTGGATTTGAAGGAAGTGGGAGTCAGGAGGGGCCATATGACAGAAAGACTGTTGGGTGCTTGTTAGGTGTGGCTGTAACAGCAGGACTGAGTGTGAGTGTGTGTGTGTGGCTTCAGGGTTGATTCAGAGCCTTGGGATTCTAGGCAAACACTACCAAGTTGCATCCCCAGCTGTAGGGATGCTTTTTTTGTTTGTTTGTTTTTTTCAAGACAGGGTTTCTCTGTGGCTTTGGAGCCTGTCCTGAAACTAGTTCTTGTAGACCAGGCTGGTCTTGAACTCACAGAGATCCGCCTGCCTCTGCCTCCCAAATGCTGGGATTAAAGTGCAGGGATGCTTTTTAAAGAGTCTTTATTTTAGAAATCTTCATGGCCAAATGTCACAATCCCCGAGCTGTGCCCACTCCAGAAAAGTGTAGTAGCAACATTCGATAAAATAACATCAGCCAAAACTTGAAACTATTACACCTGCATAAAAACATGCATGTTTATCTTATTATTTTTGCTACTCTGGGTATGACTAAAATATGAAGTCGGAAAAAGAAGAGTCATTACTGTTAAAATTCAGACTAAGCCAGAAACAAAAAGGAAACCATTCCCAATAGGGATGTCTATTTCTGGAAGGGTATACCTAGCCTTGAGAAAGGGGTGGAAATCTGGAGCTGAAGAGAAGCCTTTTTATTCCATGTGCTTTATCATGGCTGTAGTTGATAATTATGTACATTTTATGTCTACTTTATTGAAATTTTCATCTGCAAACTCCGTCAGACAACAGTCCATAGGCCATTCAGGTGTCTTCTGCTGCTTTCAGGAGCCCTTAGCACAGTGGTACGGCTGGCCCTCCACTGTCCCACTTGACATTCACCCTGCCTACACCCTTCTGCCTGCTGGATTCTGATACACAGCTTATGAGGATGGCATGGTGAGTTGAGGTCTTCAGGAAACCCTCTTAGGGCAGGGGTTAGGAGTGGCTGCCTAGGTCTGCTTTCCATTGGGGAAAACATGTGCCCATGCTAACCAAGAAGCCCTTTACCCAGGAGGTAGCCTGCCAGAAGCACAAAGCCTTCTGCCTCCCTCTGGGTTTCACTAAAGGCTGCATCCGTCCCCCGAGGGATGGGATCTAGCAGCTGCCTAGACCTCTTCTAGCTACAACATCCCTGGACAGTCTCTACAGAGATGAGTCAACCCCTTCCGGTTACAACAAAAGCAATAAGCAAATGTTCTGGACCTTTCAGAGAGGAACGTGGTCAAACCCATCTGCAGTGCCAGCTGAAGGGTCTGAGCTTTGACGCTGCAGCTCCAAGTTGGGGTGCTACAGAGCAGACTGTCCAACCTTGAAGCTAATGGACCTTTCCCGGGAAACCAGGTCAATAGCCAGAATGAAACAGGGGAAACCTCAGTCTTCCCTGCTGAGAACTAAATGCCTCAGGTAAGTGCATGCCATGCTGCTGGAGCTTAGGACAAGTGCCCCCCCCCACCCGCCGCAAAGTCCTTGCT